GGGGGGGGGGGGAGCAGGGAGAAAGGAGTGTGAGCAGGGCCTCTGGCGGGGACCCAAGGGTGGGAGGTGGCGGGAACAGACGAGGGGTTGGGCCTGGGGGGCTCACCACAGAACGGGTCCCGGCGCAGCGGGGAGAGGTGGGCACAGGCCCTTGGGCCCAGTGGACCCTGCCGGCCACTGCCATCCAGGCCCTGCTGCAGCCTCCGCTTCGTCTCCCGGAGCTCATACTTGTCCAGGGGCCGAGGGGGCAGGGGTGCCCGGGGCTGCAGGCGGAAGGCTCCTTCGCCTTTCCTGGGGGTGGGGGAGGGAGCGAGAAGGGAGCGGGCCCTGAGGAAGCACTTCCGGGTTCATCAGAGCGGCCCCCTTGCCGCTGCCCTCCTCCCCAGGAGCCCTCCTGGCTGCCTCACCTCTCACACGTGTAGCATTCACAGTGCTCATTCTTCTCGCCAAAGAAGCCCTCCCCGTAGAAGCAGGTCACCTCATCCCCTGGCTCAATGTCCCGGAGCACCTTCACGCAGGCCGCGTTCCCATCTGCGGGCACAAACTGGGGGCCCGGCTGCTCAGCGGCCTGTCCTGGGGGCCGCCGGGGCTCCACCCCGCCTGGCCAAGTGCACTCCCTGGGACTCGGACCAGGAGAGGGATGGGTAGGGGCCGGGAGCCCCCGGGAGGCCACCTCCCTGCACACACTCCCTGACCTCCCGCCCAGTTGCTGGCCTCCACCCTCCCTGCAGGACGATGATCTAACTGGCCCCTGGCAGTGTTAGCGGCCCGCACTGCCTGCCCCCTCCCACACTCTTCCTCCGCCCCTCTGACCCGCCGCAGCCCACCCCCTCTCCCCACCAGCCTGCACCCTGGCGGCCAGGTCCCAGCTCTGGCCGGCTCCCCTCCCGTGCCCGTGCCCGTGCCCTCCGCAGCTCCAGGCTGGGGCGGCTCCCCCAACCAGCCCCTCCTGCCCCTGCCTCTGCCCCGCCCCTGGGAGGAGTGGGACTCCCAGGGGCCCCTGCACTCCAGCCTGACACACGCGTGGGTAGGGGTGGCCCCCCCCACCGCCTGCCCGACCCCAGGCCCGCAGGCCGGAGCTTCTGTGCGCGGCGTCTCGCGTCCTTGCCCTCTCTGCCGCCCCGGACTCTCACCCAGTTCCGCGGCAGGTCACACATCAGGCCACAGGCCGGCCTCCGGCCCCTCTCCTTCCTGCCAAGCCTCTAGCTCCTCAGCTGCCAGGCCATCTCAAAACCCTGCCCCACTGTTCACCCAGGAGGAGCGTCCATGGCAGACGGGAGCTCCTCTGCGGCACACGAGGCCAGAGGCACCGTGCCGGGCCCGCCTCCAGGAGGCCCTCCCCTGAGACGTACCCGTCTGGGATGCCCTGGCACGCCTCAGTTTTCCTTCAACACCTAGGAAAATCCTAGTCCTCCAGGGCCTGGCTCTGGCGGGACTTCTGGGCAGCCTCCCTGCTCCGCATGGTGCCCGGCTCCTGGGCCCTCAGGTGGCTGCCACCCGCCTCACGAAAGCGCCTTGTTTTCTGTCCTACCCTGCACGTTTCCCACCCCAAAGCCACGCCACGGGCCCGCAATCACAGAGCACAGGAACCATGGGTGTGTGCTTCACCTCCGCAGCAGGAGGCCAGTGGAGAGGAGTGAACGCGGCTGGGGGCCGCTGGGGCCAAGACTCGAACCCAGTTCTAACCCCGGAGCCCCAGCGCCAAACCCCTGCCACACCCCGGGGCTCCACGCTTGGCAGGATGTGCACCCGAGGCCTTCCCGAGACAGCTTTCTCACACTCCACACAAAACACAACGTGGTCCCCCCAAAACACTGCTTCCCCAGCTCACTCCCTCTGCCTGGAAGCCCGGCCTCCCAGAGCCTTGTGCTCGGGGGCTCACCCCGGCCCCACCCGGGTGGCACGGATTGGCAGGGTCCGGCCACCTGGCCCCCCTGCCTCCTGCTGTGGCCGGGGGGCATCTCCATGTCAGGCCTGGGGCTCCAGGTGCACGGGCACTTTCTGTCTCCCCACCACCACACTCCCCCCTCCAAGTGGCACATGACCCTGGCTGAGGCCCCCTCCCCCAAATTCTGATAGACTCTGACAGCTGCAGGCACAAACTGGGTTGTGGCCAGGGTGGGGGACTCTGGGCACTTTCTGGCTAGTCACTGACCCAAATGCCCCTCCCCGGGGCCCCCTTGTTTCCCCCATGCCCACTCCTGAGGGGGGCGGCCCAAGTCTCACCTTGCAGTTGGGTTTGCAGTCTGGAGCATCAAGGAGAGCGCGGGGGAGAGAAGAGACTCAGGTGAGTGGAGGGCTGGGCAGAGGAGAGTGGGGGGCCACCCCTCCATGCCTCCCCCCCCCCCCCCCTGCCCCCGCCCCCACCATGGTTTATGAAGGCTGCGGGGCCCAGCCACAGCTGCGCACTGCGTTTTCGGGTGGAGTACATGATGCTGAAGTCGTTCTCCCCGGCCCTCAGCAGCCCCTCGTCGGCCTCCCGCAGCTCTGCGATGCAGCCCACCAGCAGTTCCAGCTTCTCGTTCTTCTTCCTGCCAGGAGGCCAGGCCGTGGGTCTGTGAGCAGGGCCTCCAACCACCGTCTCGGCTGACAGGGGTCTCTGGGGGCCAGGGGCACCAGGCCTCCTGCAGGCCGCTGCTGGCCACTGCGGTCCTCCTCCCAGATTTCTCAGATCCACCCACCTTCCTGGGGCACTCCCTGCATCCAGCATCCTCCGGGACAGGACGGCGCCCAGACAGGACACCACGTGGACCCAGGCACCCCTCCTGCTGTCCTCTCGCCCTGGGCTCCTCCTCCAGTCCCAACTGCCCTGGGGCCTCACACAAGTGCTCCTTCACCTGGACTCCCCATGAGCCCCAGTAACTCCTCGCAAGCTGCTACCCAGCCCCCCCACCCCCCGCCACGCTTCAGCAGACCCTCTGGTGGGCCTCTGCTTAGGCCTGGTTCCCAAGAACACTCAAAATTCCCTTGTGGCTGATGAAGCACCAAGCAACTGAGGTCAGTACCTGTGTGTGTACTCGGCTACCACCTGCCTTCTGTCTACACTGTGAGCGGCCGGCAGGGTCCATCCTGCTCCTTGTCCTGTGTTTTACCCAGCAGCGCGTGCTAGGCCCCACTGGCACCAAGGGATGGCTGCCCCACTGGCCACTCCTGCCCCTGCCTCCTGAGCACAAACAGTACTTCCCTAGCAGGACCTGGAACCCTAGGGTCCCATGGGGTTCTCATCCCCCATCGGGGCTGCTGTAGGCGCAGAGGGTCTGTGAGCTCCGCCCTCTTACCAAGCTCTGGTAGACACAATCTTGGCTCCATTTGTCTCCATGGAGTAGCGTGTACAGGGTAGGATGGTAAAGCCGCTTTCAGGCAGGAAGGCTCGGAGGTAGCGATAGATCTGGGGGAGGGGGGGGCGGGTGAGGAGCCGGGGCAGGGTCGTCCTCGGCCCTCTCTCTCCTAGTCCTGCTCTGCCACTGACGTGCTGTGTGGTCTTGGGGGGACTCACTGCCCCTCTTGGGGGCTCAGTTTCTTCATCTGTCAAATGAAGAGGTTGTACTCCATCTCAGAGGACCCCCAACTCTCCTCTCCTTGGATCCTCGGAGCCTCGTCTCAGATGGTCCCAATGGTCGGGAAGTTAGGGAGTCTGGGGTGGGGAACTTCGCCGAGGGGTCTGGAGCCTGGGGCTCCAGAAGTTCTGCCTGGCAGGGTGGAGGACCCAGGACACGCCGAGGTGACAGGGAGGACACATGGGCTGAGGGTGGGGGAAGGGAAGGGCGCCCTCACGTGGGTCTTGAGGGCAGCCTCCTGCCGCGGGCCCCGGCTCTGGAAGTAGTGGGCCATCCAGCCTCCCAGCGTCAGGGCCCGGTACGCAGCCTCCAGGTCCCGCTGCCTCAGGAAGGCCTCCAGCGCTGAGCGCAGGTGGTGCTGTCGCCGCAGGGGGGGCACGGGGCTGGGGGAGAGGGCACGCCTGGGTCCCAGGGCCTTGGCCTATTCCCTCCGGGCCTTCCCGGGCCCCGCCCCCACCCCCACTTGGGGCTGCAGGGGCCGTGGAGTAAGGGAAGGGGTCCCCGCCGAGCCCTCGGTCCACCCTGTCCCGGGCCGCCTCACCTGACGTTCATCTTATGGGTGCGGAAGCCGAGGTAGGGGTCCAGGACAAGGCTGGTGGCAAGGTCGTCATTCTCACACAGCTCTCTGGCTGTCACTCTGTCAGGTCCCATGGTGCCCCACGGACCATGCTGCCTCTGGCCCAGAGTGGAAGGCGCAATGGAGGGGCAGGGGCAGCGCCCCGGGACTCCCACTTCTGAGCTGCCCAGGATTTGGCAAGCCTTTCAGTCTCCAGTCTCATCTACAAACCAGGGAGTAAAGGCAGGCTGACTTCACAGGGCTCTCAGTGAGGACGGATGCAACAAGTACTTCCGACAGTGGGGAAGCCCCCCAAAGAAACGTCAGTCATCGTCATGAAGATCTTCGTGCTCTGGAGCACAGATACCAATCCCCCAAGCACACACGACCACCTGCTGTGCACACCCACACACTCACAAGCAGGTTCCCTCATGTCCCGAGTGCACGCGCGCGCGCGCGCGCACACACACACACACACACACACACACACACACACACACACACACACGGGCGCGTGCACGCACAGTCCCTACTGGCCCAGGCAAGGCTGATTAATTGGCAGTCAGGGATAACCCTAAAGGCTTAGCCCTGCAGGAGGTGGGAGTCGGGGGAATCCATCTCCACCTCCAGCCCTCACCAAGGAAAAATCCAAGGCTTCCCACCCGCTAGGACTGACTGTTCCTCCACCCACCCCCATGCTTGCTGGCCTCAGCCTCCACCTCCCCCCTGTCCCTCCCATCCTCCCTACCCCACCAAGCAGCCCTTGGGAATCATCAGGAGGCTCTGGGTGAAGCCCCAGGCAGCCTGGAGGGGGGTGAGGGGAGGGAGAGCGGAGGACGGATCCCAGCACCTGCTCCCTCTCCAAGGATTCTGGGGGAGGGGGGGCTCAGAGGACAAAGCGGGGAAGGGGGCAGAGAAAAGAAACGATATGGAGAGGCAGAACAGGTCTATAAAAAGGGGAGAAAAAAGGGAATTAGCAAAAGGAAACAAACAAGACCCCTAACCCTGACTACGGAGGGCCTGCTGGGCATCCACACCCTGGCGCTTCAGGGAGAGTCCATGGGGGACGGCAGGGAAGGGGGAGCAGAAGACGGATCAGCAGCTAGAGCTGGGGGGGAAAGGGGTTCTAGAAAAGACAGGAAGGCTGGAGATAAAGAGGGGGAGCTGCGAGAGGGCGCCGGGGCAGAGCGGAAGCTGCAGAGAGGCATGTGGGGAAAGACAAAATACACAGACTGCACCGAGGGGAGCTGGGGCAGGGAGAAGAAGGGCCGGGGGTGCCTGCTGGACACAGAGCGCGGCGGAAGGCTTGGGGGTCAGGGATGACCCCACCGAAGCCAGAGTGGAGACCTGGGGTCGACGGTAGGTCCTGAGGAGGTGGAGGGGGGCCTAGGGGTCCATAGCCGGGCTTGGAGAGGCAGAGAAGGGGCAAGTCCTGCGCGTGCAGGGAGGAGCGAGCCTGGGGTCCAGGTAGGGACCTGGGCAGGCACTGAGGGTCCAGGAGCGGGGGCTGAGGTCCGCGGGGCGACACCGGGGAAGCAGACGGGGGCCTGGCAGCCAGCGAGAGTGCAGGGGAAGGGCCTGAGGTCCAGGGAGGGGAGTAGAGAGAGGGCGACCCGAGGGGTCTGCTCAGGCCCGGGAGTGCGGCGAGGGGCCTGGGTGAGGAAGCACAGGGAAGGGGCTGGGCGCCCGGGGCAGCCTGAGGCCCGCCGAAGGGCCAGGAGACGTGGGCGCCTGGACACGAGGAGGGGCCGGGCGGGGCGGGGGACGGTCGGGGCTGGGGGCGACCGGGAGCCAAGGCGGCGCGGGCTGGGGGCCGAGAGGGGGCTCAGAGGTCGGGCCCCGCGCCGCCCCTCACCCGCTTCTCCTCCTCCTCCTCCTCCTCCTCAGGCACCCGCGCCGCCGCCGCCACCACCTCCCACTGCCTGCTCCAGCTCTCGTCAGACACGGTCGCCGCGCCTCCCGTCTGCGCCGCCGGGCCCGCCCCGCCGCGGCCAGCGGGAGCTCTCATTGGCCGAAGCCGCCGCCACTCCTCAGTGGCTGCGGCGCTCAACGCCGCTCCCATTGGCCGAGTCCCACTCGGCCCCTCCCCGCCCGCCCTCCCGTCCGTGCCCCTACGAAACCCCGCTCCGCCCGCGCCGCTGCCAAGCGCCGCCGACTGCGGCTAATGGCTCCCGTCCCTGTCCTTCCACCGCTGCCATGGAGACTTGCCCCGCCCACTGCTCGGAGTCGACGCCCTCATTGGCCGAGAGCGTCGTGGCTCCAGGCTAAACTCGGGTTTGGGTCAGGTTATTCGGGTCCAAGTGGAAAGGGGGCGGGCTCTGCCGGCTCCACAGCGCGCGCGTGATTGACTGGCCCTGGAACGGCTCGTCCTTCCATAGGCTAAGGCCTCCGCCCGTCACCGTAGAGTCGCGACTGGCCCATTCTCTTTCTCCGGTGAAACCTTCGCGAACCGCGGGGAGGAAGCTGGGGCGGGCGCGAGGGGTGGGTGCGCGGGCGCCTCCGTCGACCCCGCCCGGCCTGCCGTTGCCAAGGCGACAAAAGTTTATTGACAGCCCTGCCCGGCTACAAAGGGCGCCTCGCTCTCCCTCTCTGCTCGACCACCTTCTCCGCCCCACGTACCCCGGTTAGTTTCGGGAGCACCCACGGGAGCTCTGCGGGTGAACGGGTCGCAGAGGAGGAGCCCGAGAAGTGGGGCCTTTGGAGAAGGCTCCCACCGGGCAACCCCCTCCCCCCAACCTGCTCCAATCCTGGAGGCATCCATAATTAGCAATTCGTCATAATTACGCCCAGAGTAATAAGCTCCGCGCTTGGAGCAGGCGGTCTTTGTTTTGCTCAGTGCTGTGTATCATGGTGCGCTTCGAACAATGCCTGGCACGGAGTAGGTGCTTCCTTAATGTGTACTGAATGAATGAATGAATGAATGACCAGGTAGTGAGGATGAAGCGGACGGTTTCTGCGTCGCTCTGTGACGGTGGGAAGTGGCTTGCCCTCTCTGGCCCTCAGGTTCGCGTTTGGAGAACAAGGACCACACTGGTCCCTCTCTGAGGGTTTCTCCTTAACACCCTCCTAGGTGTCTTCAATAGCGCTTCCAGCCTCCCCACCCCCATCTCTGTTTATGCTGTTCCTTCCCCAGCTGGGACTACCCCCAACTCTGAGACTGCTCTTCCCAACCGAGGTACCCCCTACAGCCCCCCAGTAAGGATGGCCACAGCTCCAGAGGAGAGCAGCGGCCAGCAAGCAGAGAGGACTCCAAAAACTGAGCTCTCTGGCAAAGTCCAAAGTCCTATCAGTATGTCTGAATCTTGGAAGTGCATTCCTTATGTACACCCTCAAGAAGACTCGCAAATGTGAGCAGAAAGATAAGTTCCCAACAGTGTTTGCAGTGATGAAAAAAAAAAAAAAAAACCCCAAAAAGCTGGAAACGGCTTAAATGTCCATCACATGAAGAATGGATAAATGGATCGTGACATATTCATACAGGGGAACACCATACAGCAGTGAAAGGGAATGGACCAGCACTCCGGATATCAACCTGGACGACGGCAAAGCATGTTGCTGGTTGTGGAAGTCTGCATAGTTGAGTGCGGGAAGTTTTAAAGCACAGAACACAAGGGTTGTGGGTGGATGCGTGTCTTAAATGTGTATAAACATGCATTGGCGTGACAAAAGGAGGGGCAAGGCCCTACCGGTGACCCCTGCAGGTGGGACGGAAGGAATGCAATCAGGAAGCCACACAGGACATTGATATTTGCCCTTTTTTTTTTTTTTTTGTAAGCCCAGAGGTGGAAATCATGAGTTCGCTATATTCACTATCTGTTGTTTTTCTATGCGTCAAAAGATTTCTTAATATGAATAAAAATTTGACCTGCCGGGTGCCTGGGTGGCTCAGGTTATGACCCCAGAGTCCCACCTCAGGCTCCCTACTCAGCAGGGAGTCTGCTTCTCTGCCCCTCCCCCGGCTCGAGCACTCTCTCTCATGCTCTCAAATAAATAAAATCTTGGGGGAAAAAAATTGACCCGCCAATTCCACTGCCAGGGTTTTTTTCGAAGGAAATAACTGACAAGTGTTAAGGTATTTATATATAAAGATGTCCGTTTCAGTGTTGTTTAAAACAGAAAAATAGAAAGAGCCTTAATGTCCAACAATAGAAGATTGGTTGGATCACTTACAGCAAATCCACCAGATGGAATAATGACAATGCCTAATAGTTACTGAGCTCTTAGCACAGGCCAGTGATTTTGCAAATAGCCCTGTGGGGAATGGGCTGTTGTGACCCCCATCGTACAGACGAGCAAAGTGAGGCTTACAGAGGGAATTGAACAGGCCATCAGACACCAGAGGTTTATTCTCAAACTCTGGGCCGTGGCGCCCAGATAGCATCCAGCGCGTTCTCAAACTCAGATGGCATAGCAAAAGGCACCCCAGAGAAGGCATGAAACTTGGACACATGCTATAACATAGATGGACCTTGAAAACATGCCAGGTAAAAGGAGTCAGACACAAAAATTCACCCATGGAATGATTCAATTTCTTTTTTTTTTTTTTAAAGATTTATTTATTTTAGAGAAAGTGCGTTCGGGGAGGAGGGGCGGGACAGAGGGAGAGAATCTCTCTTTTTTTTTAAAGATTTTATTTTATTTATTTATTTTTTATTTATTTATTTGAGAGAGAGAATGAGAGAGAGAGAGAGAGAGAGAGAGAGAGAGAGAGAGCATGAGAGGAGGGAGGGTCAGAGGGAGAAGCAGACTCCCCGCTGAGCAGGGAGCCCGATGCGGGACTCGATCCCGGGACTCCAGGACCATGACCTGAGCCGAAGGCAGTCGCTTAACCAACTGAGCCACCCAGGCGCCCCCAGAGGGAGAGAATCTCAAGCCCACTCCCCACTGAGTGTGGAGCCCCATTTGGGGCTCGATCTCACGACCCTGAGATCATGACCTGAGCGGAAATCAAGAGTCACACGCTTAACCGACTGAGTCTCCCCCACCCCCGCCCAGTCACCGGGGAATGATTCCATTTCCAAGAAATTTCCAGAATAGGTGAATCCATAAACACAGAAAGCGGATTCATGATTGCCAGGGGCTGGGGACGGGGAGGTGGGGAGGGACTAACAAGAGGTATGGGGTTTCCTTTTTGGATGAAGAGGTTCTGGAACTAGAGAATGGTGATGTTGCAGAACATCGTGAATGTACACAAAGCCATTGAATTGTATACTTCAAAATGGT